GTGTGAGGCATGCATAACAGGATGTTGAGGGATTTTTCTCTCATTATTACTTCTCTTTTATCAAGTGGTGTATGCCTGGTCATCTTCTGAGAAGCTATGGAGGAAAGGTTGGATAGATTCTGGTAAAATCTTAGTCTATTTTCTGCTGCTATAACAATTACCTGAGGCTGGATAATGTATAAAGAACAGAAATTTATTTGGCTTGTTGTTCTGGAGGTTGGGAAGTTGAAGAGCATGGTTCACCAGCATCTAGCCAGGGCCTTTGTGCTGCACTGTCAAAGGTGGAGGAGGGAGGGGAAGAAAAGAAGGAAGGAGAGGAGGAAGTGTACACATACGAGAACAGTTTTACTTTGAACTTAATATTTTTTGTCAGAAACCCACTCCCATAATAATGGTAATCTTTTGCAAGGGCAGAGCTTTCATGACCTAATAACCACTTAAAGGCCCCACCTCACAAAATCATTGCACTGGGATTAGGTTTCTAGCACAAGAACTTTGGTGGGCACATTCAAATAATAACATGTATCATAGGGCCGGGGACTTAGCTCAGTGGTTCGGTGGCCTGCCTTGCAAACGCAAGGACCTGAGTTCAATCCCCGGCACCAAAAAAAAAAAAAAAACCACATGTATCATGGAGAAAATTTGAAATAGATGCTCTGGAAAATGCAAAACTGGGAAGAGTAAGGGAGTAAAAATGTCTTAGAGTGCTATGCAGCAATAAGGGCCCAGCTGAGACTGGAGACAGTACATCTATAACAACATCACAATGAAAAGTTTAATAATTTTTATGTAACCTGATTATAGGGAATATAGGCTGTTGGATTCATCAAGTCTGACTTCTAGGATAGATAAGACAGTAGAACAAAGAATTGAAAATAATGGGGAAAAATGGTACAAGTGATTTTTTAGAAGTAAAAGTAGGAAGAGACTGGTTAGATTGATGAAAATTGCAGGATGGGTAAAACCAAATTAAAGATAAAGGAGAGAGTGGGCCAAGAGACCAGTGATAAGTGAATATGTTGAAGATGGGGGGGGATGTTTACTTTCAGGGTTTTCCAGAAGACATGTTGGAGAAGCTTGGCCAAAGAAGGTAGCAGTAGGAAGCCACCAAGTATGACTTCCTTTCTGTGTTTAACAAGGATTGTTACTTCTCTTGAAATTTCCCTTTTTATTTGTGGGGAGGTTGACAGTACCACTGTAATTTTTCTCCTCCCTACGTTTTCTCAATGCCTTTTTTTTTAAGTTTGTCCTGCTATATTTTCTGACTTATCTATGCTGATTTCTTACCCAATGTGAGTTAATAAAACTCATCTCTGTTTTCTAAGCCAGTGTTCCCTAATCTTCATCTCTAGCCCAGGCATTTCTTTATTTATTTGTATTGTGCTGGGGCCCAGGTCTTCATGGTGCGTTAGGCAGGTCAAGTCCTCCACCAGTCCACCACTAAGCAACATCCTTGCCCTTGTGATGGTTAATTTTCTTTGTCAACTAGCTTGTGCTACTGGATGTCCAGATTACTGGTAAAACATTAATTTTTTGGTATGTCTATGGGGATGTTCTACAAAAGATTTTAATTTGTCTCTATAGCCCAGTGATAACAACCTTTTAGAGCTTTCGGTGATGCAAACAGCCTGCTGTGGCATATGTGCCATAGGTTTGTCACCACTGCTTGTAGACTGAGTGAAGGAGATCCACCCACACTGATGTGGGTAGGTATCATATAGTCTGTGGACACCTTACTAGAACAAAAAGGCAAAGGAAGAGCAAATTTGCTCTTGGCTTGAGCTGGGCATCCATTTCCTGCCCTCAAACAAGGACCTCACACAGGCATTTGAATACCAGTAGAATTTAACACAATTAGCTCACTTGGAGCGCCAGCTTGCACATGGTAGATTAACAGATTTCTCAGCCTTTATAGTTGAGTGAGGTAGTCTCTCATAAATACCTATCCTGTTTGTTCTGACTCTCTGGAGAACCCTGAGTGATACAATATCTATATTAAAAATTAGTGAAACTTGTAAAGATATTTGTAGCATTTTATTCATAATTGTTAAAGCTTGGAAGCAAGCAAGATGTCCTTGAGAAACTGAATAGATAAATAAATGGGTAAATAAACTGGTATGTCCAGACAGTAGACTATTATTCAACACTAAAAGGAGCATCAGACTATGAATAGACATGAAGAAACCTTACATGCATCTTACTCAGTGGAAGCAGCCAGTATGAAAAGACTACTTATGGTATGATTTCAACTCCATGATATTCTGGAAAAGCTAAACTGTAGAGACAGTAAAAGGACCAGTCTACCTAACCCAAATTTGTACACTTTTCTAAAAAAAAAAAAGAGAGAGAGAGGGTTTCAAATGTCACATGATATCATTGTCCTTGCTCAGAGTTTTGCTCGCCATTTCCATTTTTGACATTATTTTGGATTTTTGATTTTTTTATTCTGATTCTCAGAAAGTCGATTCATATAACCAGTAATTTTTTTGTAATGTTACGATGTTATTTGTTTGACCAAAGATCTAGTTATGGACATTTTATATAGTAATAGATAAATATATCTGCCATTGCTCAGCAGTCTTGTACATAATTTTTTTTTTTTTTTTTTTGAGATGGTCTCACTATGTAGTTGAGACTGACCTAGAACTCATTATGTAGCCCAGGCTGGTCTCGAACTCACAGCAATCCTCCTGCCTCAGCCTCTGGAGTGCTGGAATTACAGGAGTGTGTCATGATGCCTGGCATACTTTTGTCATCTTAAACTTACCTTTATTAAACAACATTTGCTACTTTTCAGTATTTCCTTATTGGGCAGCCAAAATTTTCATCATCTTTCATCAAAACTTTGGTGTCACTTGATTTCTTTCTCTTGTTTCTCTATCCAGTTACTTGCCAAGTCAGATATTTATTAGTATAGTGAATATTGTTTTTTTCAGTTTTGTTAATGTCAACCTTTTTCACAGTTGTCACTAAAATGGTTTATGCATTGCCTCTCAATTCTCACAAGTATGAAGTATTATCTGAAAGAAGTTAGCTTGTTTATAGTCACCAGTTGGTTAGTGGCATAAGGCTACAAATTTAGGTCCAGTGCTTTAACACTTTACTCTTTTATGTCATTAGTTTAAGATGTAAACATGTGGAAAGCTGAGTAGGATAGCAATATGATAAAATAAAACTAGAAAACACTCAAAGTTTTCCATTGTCTTCCCCAAATTACTACTATCTTTTTGAGAGTAGAGTGGTATAGTGGACAAAACCCCAAAGTTTTGTGTAGACATCTGCTTTGAGTCATAAAATGGTTTGTGGTTTTATATATACTAACTTAAACATAAAAATATTCCTCACAGTGCCTGGCACATGTAAATGCTCAATGCATTTAACTCCCATTATTACTGCAGAGTTTAGTGGATAGACATTTTTAGGGAAGGATTATTTGGCACTCCAATAAATAAAGGCAACTAAATGTATTATTTCATGAATTTAAGTATTTTTCATTTACTTATAAAACAATCGATGGAACTTATGTTCCAATATGTTAAAAATTGGTATGTGGAGCCAGGTGTGGTGGTGTGTGTATATTTCTAGAACTTGGGAGAATGAGGCAGGAGGAGTGCTGTGAGTTCAAGGCCAACCTAGCCTACATAGTAAGTTCAATATTAGTGAGACCGTTTCTCAAAAAACTAATAAAATTGGCACAGAGCACATTAAAATGTACATATTATTTCTTGCTAAAGTTTTCAAAGGATCAAAAATAATATTTAATTTAAACTTTAGTGAAGTTAGGCTATTTTTTGGTGGTGCTGGGGTTTGAACCCAGGTACCTCTGTTGCTTAAAAGTATCTACTAGTGAGCTACATGCTTAGATACCCAGCCCTTCAGCAAACTTTCTAAAGTGCCTTACCATATAGCATCAGATTCTGCTATTCAGTTTCAGCTTTTGTAAAATCTGATTCTTGTTCCTTTTTCCTGTTTCTCCAATGTAAACTCATTCCCATATTCCTGGTACAGACCACTCCATGATGAAAGAAGGACCTTGCAACAAAATATAAATCAAGTGTATTATAAAGCACACTTCCTGGTTCAACGCTCCCCCTTCCCCCAGTAAGCTACATCTCAAAAAATTTTGAGGCTCTTGCTGAATTGATGTTGCACAGGCTGGGCTCAAACTCATGATTCTTCTGGAGGGCTGGGATTTTAGTTACGTGTCACCAAGCCCAGCCTACCCTTTTTCTTTTTTAAATGTAAGATTTCCTAATGAGGAAGCAGTGCATTGATTTAATCTCATTGGAGACCAATACTTTATTGAATTTATCTGTATGATACAAGTTAACTTTTTTTTTTTTTTTTGTACCGGGGATCGAACTCGGGTCCTTGCACATGTGAGGCAGGCAGCAGAACCACTGAGCCAAATCCCTGGCCCACAGTTAGCATTTTAATTCTATCAGGTATATAGTATGTGATAAGGAATGGGAGAGTGAGTAGAAGTTAGCACTGAGTATAAAAGGACACATTATTTTTGACCTTGTAGCTTGTGAATTCTCATTCCATGTTTTTGGAATTTCTCTCTTCCTGACTTTTGGTGGTGAGCAAAACCTGCTAATAAGTTCTTGCTTTCTTAGCCTCCGTTTGCTAGCTAAGCAAATGTTTCAGTAGAGGAACTGAGGGGACTGGTATGGTGTGTCTTTGCAGATCAGGTCTTCTACACTTTACATTGTTAATAAGGTTCTTTGAAAATTGCTATCTACTAGATGTCTTTTCATAAATTTCCCACCAAATTAGCCACAGTAGGTTTTTCTTTAAAGCAAGAACTCAGACTGTAAAAATAATTTTTTAAAAATCTTGTATTACTACTACTACTTTAAGCAAACTGATCACAGGCAAATTGTTAGAATTTATACAAGCAATTTTAAAGTGTTTTGGCCATACTCTGTGAGTCATGTTATACACAGTAAATATTATAAATAATAATTCATTTTAGTATTTGCATTTAAAAATTTCAGTTTGCTTTGTGGACCATGTGCTGTTATGTATGCCTGAAGTACTTGAAATGCAAATCTGGGAAGGCTTTGCCATCTAAATGCTTGGCTGGATTAAGCGCCTGATGAGGATGGTTTTTCAGCAGGTTGGAGTAAGCATGCAGTCGGTGAGTGCTCAAAGTTTATTTTTAATATCCAGATGTTTAGATATTTTAAGAACTTTTCTGAGAAAATGTGCTATGTGACCATAATTTGAATTCAGTGTTTGTTTTGTTTTTGCTATTATGGTACCAGTGATAATTAGCTCTTTGTGTTTACTGTATATAATCAGTACTACCATAACAGCCATCCCCGATTGGCTTTCTGTGCTATTGCTTACAGTGCCCATTGCTTCTGCATAGATTGTGAATGTTTGATAGAACAACCCTCTTTACAGATAGGAAACCTGAAGTTCACAGTGTTTGACTGTCTTGACCAAAGCTACATGATTATTAAGTGGTAGAGCTATAATATGAACCCAATTTTGATTCCAAAATCCTTTTTAGTGTACTTTGCACCTTTTAAAATAGAAAGGGGACAAGATTAATGTTTATTGAAGACATAAATACTTTAACTCATTAATGTTCATAGATTCATGAAATAGGTACTGTCTTTAATTTGTAGATGAGAAAATGGAAGCCTAAAGGGGTTAATAATTTGATCAGCTTTGTATAATAGGCAATGGATTGGAGGAGACTGCTTTTAAAGCCAGGCTTTTATGCTGCCATAGGCTGCTTTCTCTTTATTGCCTTCAAGTTTACCTCAACATTTGTTTGAAGTTAAAACATACTTATGCTCAAATTTTCTTTGAATCTATTTATGTCCTTGAGCAAAAATATTTGTAAGTTAGAGAATATCGTATAGCTAATGTATTTCTTATTAATTTCAATACTTAATGTTGGAAAAGAAGTTACAGCAAATGTCTAATTTGTATTAGCAATGTAGTAATATAGTAATACTTAAGATTTATACCTATCTTTTCCTTTTGTGCTATGGAAGAGTAATGTGAATTCCAAGGAATTCCAAGGAAGGAAGAAGAGAACTGAAGAGAAGTCTTAATCTTTGGTTAGGGATTTTGAAAGTGTTAACGAGTTTTATCTTTTCTCTCTACCTCCCCTCTAATGCATGTGTTTTATTAAGAATTAATATTTTATGCTTTGGATTTAGGAATTTATACTTTGTTGGCTCATAGACTCCTTAAAAACTTGATTAGTGAAATGGACCTTCTAAGCAGAAGATAGTTACATATGCAAATAAATTTGCATGTTTTTTTCAGGGATTTATGAATCAAATTATATCACATTGTTTCTTAAGAAAAATACATTTACTTTACTTAGAATTAAATTTATAGTTCCCCCTGGTAAATATTTTTTCTTAAATAATATGGATTAGTTATTAACAATTGAATTGTCACATAAAACTTGAGTGCACTTACCCTTGATGAGATAGATGACGACTTCAGATTGTAGCCTCACATATCACTCTACTATAGTTTCACAGTGTCAGAAAAGACCAAGTTGCTTTTCTGTTGTCATCCTTCTTTTTGTTATCACTTTTAATAACAAACACTGTTACTAAATATTATGGACTGTCACTACTAGACACAGACATGCACACATTTACAACCAGAGACTCATTAAATTATTTATAAGCAGTTTTTATGTAGGTAAGGCATAATGTTTCTGTTTAGTTATTTCTTAGGAGAAGTGAATTATTTCCAATGAGATCAAATTGCCTAGTAATGATAGTTTTCTCCCTACCTTCTCTCCTATATGAAGACATATTAATGACAGTTTAGAGGAAGTCTACCCTTCCCCAAACCACTACTGATAAGACAAAGTTCAGCCACAAGGTAGGGTGGGAGATGCACTTGGCTCATGCACTTTCCCAGTGCACAGATGGTGACTTTTTGGTACCATCTGTTCACTCTTTCTTTATAGCCATTTATAATTTCTTTCCCTCCATGAGGGCTGAGCAGAAAAAAGTATCAAGACATAGTTTTAAAGAGTTCCTGAAGGTTAGCTGCTCTTTTCTCTCACTTTTTTTAATCATTCAATAAGGTTATGGCTCTTTCTAAATTTTCTGGTCCCTAGCTTATAGACCCTTGCTTCATATTTCTTGGTGCTAAGTACTGTACAATTCACACATAACAGAAGAACAACATTTTGTTGGTTTACTGTGTATGCTTGAAAAAATAATCTCAGTTTTTCTTATTCTTTTCCTTTCTTTAACTTTGTAGACAAAACCTTAATAGTCTACTTATTCCTTGTGATTAAAAGCCACTACTTTTATAGAAAGCACTGGGTATTCTTTGTTTTGATATTAGACAGATTGAAAGATAATAGTTGAAACTTAGCCCTACAGCATGCATAGTGAAAAACATTAAAATCTGGCAGAAGCATTAGTTCCTGACCTTGGCAAATCCTTTTAAAATTTTTCTTTATGCGCTTTTATCCTTTTCATCATCAGGCAGGATCTTTGTTTCCTGGAGAGAAGGGAAGATTTACTTTAGACCATGTAATTGTCACATTATGAAGTACAGAGTCATAGGAGAGTTTTGACTTCTGACTAAATAGAAGATTCAAAAGTGAAAAGACTAAGTGGTGTAGTTACCATTGCCCTGTGGATTTTCTTTAAAGATAAGACCTATTAAAATATATAAAGTAAAACATTTCTTTAAAAACTATGTTTTAGAACTATTTGCCCATGATCTATTTCTTCGGTGGGCCTGTTATGTCAACTTTGTAGAGCAGTCAGGCTTATTTTCCTCTAGTCAGGTGTTTTTTCCATCTCAGTCCTTGTATTATAAAGAGTGTGTTATAATCCTCTGTTGATAATTGGTGTGAATGATGTTTTGCTCTTTATTTTCAGAACAATTTTGTGTTAGCTGGGTGTGGTGGTGCACTCCTGTAATCCCAGCCCTCCGTGAGTGGGAGTGAGGCGGGAAGATCGCCATGAGTTTGAAGCCAGCCTGGATAGACTACACAATGAGTTCAAGGCCAGCTTGAACTACGTATCGAGACCCTGTCTTAAATAGACCAATAAACCAAACAGAATAACTTTGCCTTTAAACTTTTTTTGTTTGTTTTTGTTTTTGGCAATGGGGATTGAGCTGCAGGGTACTCAATGAGTGAGCTACATCGCTACCCCTTTAAATTTTTATTTAAAAACCCTTGCTAAGTGGCTCAGGCTAGCCTCGAATTTATAGTCCTTTGCCTCACATTTTTTTTTTTTCATTGAAGCTTCACCTTTTGACTAGCTGGGATTTCAGGCACAATACCCATTTATAATAATGATATTTTGATATTGATGTTTTCTTTGTGTGTGTGTGTGTGTGTGTGTGTGTGTGTGTGTGTGTGGACTAGGGATTGAACTCAAAGCCTTCTCACTAAGCTATAGTGCCCTTATATTTTATCTTGAGAAATGGTCTCATTGAGTCATTATGTTGCCAGGACTGGGCTCAAACTTTTTTTTTTTTTTGACTTTTTTTCTTTCCCCCTTCTGTCCAGGGTCTCACTATGTAGTTCATGCTGGCCCTGAGCTCACTATGTAGTCCAGGCTGGCCTCAAACTAACAGCGATCCTCCTGCCTCTGCCTACTGAGTGCAGGGATTACAGGTGTGCACCACCATGTCCGGTGGGCTCAAACTTTTAATCCACCTGCCTCAGCCTTCCAGAGCGTTGGGATTATAGGCATATGCCACCCTGGCTTTCTTTATATTGACCAGTTTTTAAGCCTATACCAAGTTTTTTGTTTGTTAGCATTGGGACTATGCATGTTACACAAGCACCGTACCACTGAGCTACGTCTCCCAACCCTCCTATATTTTATATTGAGAGAAGATCTTGCCAAGTTGCTCAGGCTGACCTCTTGTTTAGTCCTCTTGCTTCAGCCTATGTGTAGGTGGGATTTTAGGCATATGCCTCTACACCCAGCTGTACCATCCATTTTATTTATATTTCCAAAGGAACAATTATAGTTTCTTTTGATTACCAGTCAGTATAGATTATATAATACTTTATGGAACTCTCCTCTCTAAGAGTCAGTGAAATCTTGACCATATATGATGAAAATTATTTAAAAACTGAGGTAGATTGCCATGGGTATTTTACATAACCCCCATAAACCTCATTTTGATTTGTATTACTATCCCTAAGTTGGATTTGGTTGTTAAAATTTAAGAAATCAGGTTGTTTCTATGCTCATTTTATAAGCTGTGCATGCTTTTAGAATGGTTTGAAAGCCTGGTTCTGAAGGTCTATTTTGGATTAGGTATTTGAGTCACTGTTTACTATCACTGATTACTTGGTCAGATTGTTTTTATTAAGGTAATTCTGGTCTTTAAATTAGAATGGCTATGGAGTAACCTTAAAAAGGAGATAATGTCCATTGGTCAGAATCTATATGTAGCCAATTTGGTATTATTTAGTCCTTAGGATTTAGGTGTATATTAAAGTTTGATGAACTAAGTTTAATAGTCATGTTATTCTCATTCTTTTCTTTTAAAATTGCTTTTAATGGCCTACTACTCTTCTTTACCTCTTCTGTCCAGGCTTTCAGGTGTAGCAATCCAAACGGATAGTTTTTCTCTTTAAGGGAAGATCATATACTGGGGGAGAAATTTCAAGGTACAATTTGTAATGATTTAACATCATACATGTGTGTTTTTTGTTTGCTTTTTGCTCTGGGAGTTTTTGTTTTTTGCTTTAAGCATAGCATAATGTCCTGTATACATTATTTCATCAAGTTAATTTTGCTCATTAAGACTACCATTAGCTCATTTAATGCCTTTATGCAAATTAAAGATAAAACCATTGAAGAAAATGTAATGCTTGGAGAGCAGTGCAACTGGATTTCACCTCCACCCTGCTCTTGTGCAGCAAGTGACATGCATGGCACAAATTTACATTCCAAACTTTTTACTAATTTGGATTTGTTTTAGAAATTCTTTATAGCAAAAGTAGCTCATTAGAAAAAGTAAAGTTTGTACTTCAAGTACTCTCTAGTATTATTAAAAATTGCTATTTTATATTTTCATATAATGCAGAACATTAAACTTTATTGCCTTAATAGCCAGTTATAGTCTTTCATTTTGAAATACTAGCTTATTTCCTATAACATTTAGAGCATCTTTGTGCCATAATTAAATATGTTAGCGTATCATGCAGTTAATAGTCCAATGATTTATAAATTTGGCAGTTCTAGAAGTCTTCTAATTAAAAAAATTTTTTTTCCTACTTCCTCAGGTACTTTGGTCAGGAAAGCCATACGGTTCATCTCGAAGTATCGTAAGGAAAATTGGTACTAACTTATCTCTGATCCAGTGTCCAAGAGTTCAGTTTCAGGTACTATATTTTATGTACTTAATATTTTAATATTAACATTTACAAGATGGTTTTAAAAATACTTTATTGATTTTTGAATCTTTTTTATATTGATGCCACTACCAATAAAGTAAGAGGAGTAACAAACCAAAGTCAAGTCTAATTTTAGTTCCTCTGTGATTCTTTTAAGATCTTTAAGACATTTATCATTCTTAAAAGTACTTATGTGAAGATTTAGAAGCATATGATAAACTAAGCAAGTGTTAATTCTCAGGTGACCTCACAGGCCTTTGGGTACTTAAGGTATCACCATTGTTTTTTTTTAATTTACATCTTTCTCTTTGGATAGCTATTTTACTCCTTTAGTTTGTTTTTAGGTGTCTCTGGACTCTATTTAAGTTTTCTCCATTATTGCTTTCAAACTCATCATTAAATATAAGATTCATTGCTTTAAAAGGTGATTGTCAAGACTAAAAGGTAATTGTAGTCTGAATGAAGTGAGAATCAACCAGAGAATTAAAGTACTTCTGAAGGCTCAAGTCGTTAGCATTCTTTTTTAGTACCAAGTCAGGAGCAACTCTACTCTTCTTGGAGACATTACTGTTTTCTTTTTTGTGCTTTTGTTCCTTATTATAGTTAGACATCATATGTCAGTTCTTTTTTAGTAATTCTCATGACAGTAATAGGACAACATATTTCAGTTTACCATTTAATAATATAAAGTTCAACAGAGCTATCTACCAGCTTTAATTAGTAGATTAACACATGGAGATGTGGAAAATGTACATTTTTTTAACTCATTATTTAGAAGCTCATGTGTCATTCATGTTTATATGGTAGGACATCAGACTCATAAATCACTCCTCCTGGTAGATGAAGGTGAAAATTTTTTCCTAAATAAGAGGTTGAAATTAGCTTTTTTAAAAAAGATTAAACAAGATTGTTCATTGCTGTGTTAATAATCTTGCTTGCAAATTGTGAGTCAGTATAGAAAACTGACAGATTGGAGCTTTCCAAGAAGTAATTTTTTTATCAAACTCCAGGCTTTTTTTTTAATGATCAAAATGAGATCTATGGTAGTAAGTCCCTCAAGTACAGTTTCTCAGAATTCAGTTCATTTAGACACAATTACTGTTTGCTTTACTTGCCAGTTTCCTTCAGATGACTGTTGTATTAATTAAGGATTATTAACATTTTCTGATTGCCCAATTCCATTAAAATTTTCTTTCTGGAGCTTTAGGCATAGCTCAGTGGTAGGGAGTTACATGAATGAAACTCTGGGTTTGATCCCTAGCACTAACAAAACAAATTTTTTTTTACCTTTTATTGAGTTTATTGGTACATTTTAGGTATACAGTACAGTTACATTCATTATTGGGATCTTGTACCTTTACATGACAGGTGGTCTCGGTTGTCATTTTTTCCCCTTGTCCCTGCCCTCCCTTTACCTCCTCCTCCCCTCCCCATTTACAAACACTTTAATTCCATTTTTTCATTTTCTCATATTTTTCTTTTCCCTTATTACCTTTCCCCTACCCTTCCCACTTTCCCTCCACCTTTAGCCCTTTTCTTCCCATTTCACAATGTCAGTTATCTCATAAGGATCTTATGACTATTACAGTTTATTCACACCAGAGAAACTAGTCGGTAAAAACAATCTTTATCTATTTAACCTTCTAGTTGCTAGAGAACTTATGTTCATGTAGCTGGAGACATGTAAAAGAACATGGATTTAGCTAATATTTTTTTTTGCAATTCAAATCTTCCTAAACAGTCAGTGGGCCAAAGTGCTACAGCTATGTATATTTACCTGGGAGGATTCTCTTTAAGTGTTATTTCAGTTGCTTAATGAACACCAACAAATATTAGATATAACACAATGTTATACTGGAAAAAAATTAGCAGTAGATGTAAAAAGCATATTAAAGACACTTACTGTTATGACTTGTATCTAGATGTCTCCCTAAAGCTTCATACAATCATAGGTGGGCTTTTCAGAGGTGGCTAGATCTAGAGTGTGTGATGCTGGGGTGAAGAATGTGATGCTGGGACTGACACATGGTGCAATGCTAGGATTAAGGCTGCCCTACCCAGGGTGTGAGTGCTACCTGGTGGGTAGCCTGGATAGATTATAAGGGACAGCAGAGGGTTGCTGCTTGTTGCAAGAGACCTGCTGCTGCTTCTTTGCTACTTTGCTGTCTTTTGCCTGCCATGAATTGTTTCTCCACTGTGATGCCCTTCTGTCATCCACCCTGCCTTGGAGCCAGCCAACTATGAATGGAAACATCTACAAACTGTGAGCTACATAAACTTTACCTCCTTTAACTTTAGGTGTCAGTTATCTTATTTCAGCGATGAGAAAAGTAACTAAGACAACCACTAAATATTGCAAGACTTGTGTATAAGATCATAGGTTTTATTGGCTTCCTCTGTACTTTATTAGAGGGTGATAGGAATGAGTTCACTACATTTCACTCAATACAGTATCTCCAGGCCTTTCATGTTTATTTTAATTGAAGAAAAATAACTTCCCCTAGACCTTTTATCACTTTTATATATATGTGCATTTCAGCTTTGGCTCACAACTATATACTTCTGCTATAAGCATTTGGTATATTTGGATATTGAGGTCCTCTTGGAGGTAGAACTGCAGATGAAGACAAATTAGAACAGGATCTTTTGTGTTCATGACACTAAAAGAAAATTGAGATAATAGAGAAACTTGTAAAGTAGTAAGCTCTGGGGACTGGGAGGAATGAGATGCAGCAGACTAGATGCATATTCACATTACTAGGCTCTTTTAAAAAAATACCTACACTGAGGCCTCATTTGCCAGGATGTGGTGGTACTAAGGTCCTCAAGCGTAATCACTCAGCCACTGAGCCACACTTTCAGCCCCAGGTTTTAGTCATATGACTTCTCTCACTTATGCAATAGCCCATTAAATACCATCTCATGTGGGAGCGTCTTTCTTGCTGACGGATCTGCACATAAGCCACTTATACTCTCCTTTTTTTTTTTTTTTAACAGTTTTATAGTATTTTCAAGGTACTATTCTGTTCTCAGGAATGATTAGGAAGAGCTTGAAGTTGAGTGGCACTCAAGGTTAAGTTGTATAAAATACTCATTTGCTGAATATTTGTTTGGATAAGTTTCTGAAATACATAAAATACAGAAGGAGAAGTACAAAAGCCTTTCTTTTATGACTTTTTTATATGTGTGTGTGTGTGTGTGTGTGTGTGTGTGTGTGTGTGTGTGCATTTTTGTAGACAGGGTTTTCTATGTAGTTTAGGCTGGGTTTGGGTTTACTGTGTAGCTCAAGCTGGCTTAGAACTTGTGATGATCCTCTTGCTTTAACCTTTAGAGTGCTGCAATTACAGGCATGTACCACCACACCCAGTTGTTTGCTTATTTATTTAAAAGTATTTTTTCCTCTTCAGACTACAGCTTACTTCTATTATATGCAAAATATTAGTATTTTGAAATTTTTCCATCTTAATCTAATTTTATGTGTTTTTGTTTGGATTTTTTTGGTGGCCATGGTTAGAATCTTAGGCTCTTAAATCTTTATTCCTGATATAATTTGTTTTCTTTGCTTGTCTACTTGTTCTCTACCTGAAGCTTTTTTTTTGACACAAGGTCTCGCTAAGTAGTTCAGAAAGGTCTTGAACTCACTATGTAGCCTAAATTGGCCTTGAACTCACAGCAGTCCTCCTGCCTCAGCTCCCACTTGTGCCACACCTGGCCCCAAAGCTATATTTTAGGGCATTTTTGTATACTTGATGTTCTTAGTACATTATTAAAATGTCATTTTTTTTTCTAGTATTGGGGATCAAACTCAGAACCTTGCGCTTGCCAGGCAGGTGTGGTGCCACTGAGCCACATCCATGACCCCTAGAGTGTCATTATGAATCTGTTTTATAAGTTAATAATATTAAGTAATAATCCCAGAATAAATCCACATGGTATTAGTTGTAATGTTTCTTAAAATTTTACTCATAATAGTACTTTAAAGATATTTTAAAGTTTTAATTACATGAGTATTATATGTTTGCATGGTGTATTTTGCATTTAAAGAAGAGGCCTTACTAAACTGTGACTTCAAAAAGCCTTACTTGACAATAATAGCATTATAACCTAAAAAGGTTATAAATAGGAGGGTGGGAGTGTGGCTCAGTGGTAGGAATGCCTACTATGTACAAGGTCCTGGGTTAAAATAAAAAGGTTTGAATAATTGAGACCTAGAATAACATTTATGACAGATATGCTAATGAATAAATTTCTTTGGCCTGTTACATTTTTTACCAGTTAAGTGAATTAAAATGAATTTCTTGTTTGTTTATTTAAACCTCTAACTTTAAGCAAGTATTATATTAATGACTTTATTTTAAACTTGCTGTTCACTGATTCTGAGGCATTATATGTATGATGCCACCTAAATTTAATACCGTTAAATTACCTTTCCATTTTTAAAGATAAATTTCAGGATATGCATGCTCTTTTTTTTTTTTTTGAGACAGAGTCTCACTTTGTAATTCAAGCTGGCCTCAACTCACTATGAGTGATCCTCCTGCCTCAGCCTTCTGAATGCTGGGATTACAGGTGTGCACTACCATGCCTAGTTTGCGTGCTTTTTCTTGTATTTATTTTAAAATACTGTTTCCTTCATCCATATGTTTAGTTTTAGGTTACTAAATTCTGTTCTACTATTCTTTGTTAGTTTTGTTCTTTAATACTATTAAAAATCAAGAGATTTAGGGAGTTAAAAATTTTTTAACACTATAACAACATACGTAACAATTATAACACCGATATGTCAGTCAGTGAAAAATATTCCTACACTGTAAAAATAGATGACTTGTTTGTTAACTTTGTACCCCCTGGTTTTAAAAATTAAATTTGTTCAGTAAAAAAAATGGTTTCTAGTGCTTAGAATCTTAAGTTTTGTTTTGTTTTATTTTGAACATTGTAGAATTAATAGAATATTTTAAAAGACTAATTTATAAATTAGGTGTGATGATGTGTACCTTTAATCCCAGCACTAGAATGGCTGAGACAGGAGGATCGCCATGAGTTTGAGGACAGCCTGGGCAATATAATAATATAGCGATTTCAAGGTCAGCCTGGATTACATAGCAAGACCTTGTTTCCAAAAAAAAAAAAAAAAAGACTAACTTGTAAAATGAAAAGTTAAATTACAATTTAAATATTGTCATATACTATTAGATAACAGGATATGACTGGTGATTCCTTTCATGAAGACCTTCAGTGGAGCTGGTAAAAAATTCTTAGGTGTTTATAACACCAAAGCTGATTTTTTTTTTTTAAGGTGAGTAAAAATGTTTTGGTGTCAGATAAAGGACTTCCCCTATTTATAATTTACAGCTTACTAGCCATGCGACAGAGTGGAATTCCAGCCACCCAGGAGAGGATGCAGTGGTGTCTTTTGCTGATGTTGCATGGGTAGCCACAGAAGGAGGAGAGTGCTCAACAAGACTCAGGTAAGTTTAGAAGGCTGTTAGAGCTGAACTGTGATATCTGCTATGTTAAGGATTTTGAATAATTTGCAGTGTTTCCTTTTAATAGCCTGATTTTGAGCTGTAATACTGATTTCTCTTTTAATCTCCTCTAGCACATTACACGCCCCTCATCAATAGTTTATTCAAATCCTTTCAAATAATGGAAGCATTTAACTCTTATACATTGTTTCCTTTGACTCACAACTCATCTTAACTCCCAACTTTTAGGAAACATTTTATAAGTTCTATTATGATCTAGTCTGATTCGTCTGCCCCAAGAAGACCATATTACTGTTTTTAACATATTACCATAGTCCTTTCTGTTCTCGCATATTAGAATATTAGAATTCTGAAGGGCTAGACGTTCTGTGATTCATAACAACTCAGGACACAATTATATTCATTAACTTATTAACTATTTACTTATAACTGACTTATTAATTCACATTAACTTATGAGTGTTAAAAATGAAAAGAAAAAAGTGATCAAAAAGGGGTTAGTTATTACAGTTCAGTGAAGTCTACTGAACAATTATAGAAGGCCATTGTAGGATGAGAGAGTTTCAGCAGGGTTTCTCAGGAGGGGATGCTACAGCTAAATTATGAGGGGTCAGTAGGAGTCAAGTGCATGGAAAAGCTGTGTTCCAGGAAGAATGAAGAACTTTTCTTTTTCTTTTTTTTCAGCTATGCTGGGGGACTGAATTCAGGGCTAAATCATAATTGCTTAGGCTGACCTTTAGTTTGCCTCAGCCTCCTTAGTTTCCTGCCTCAGCCTCCTGAGTAGCTGAGATTACAGCATGTGCCACCCTACCTGGCTAAGAAATTGTTTAGAAGTACAATCAAGACATAAGATGGAATGTTTGGGGCATATCAGATGTCTCAATGCATCTACATATTCCCAGAGAAGTTTGAGCTGTGGGAGATGAGGATGGAAAGTAGGTAGAGGTTTAGGTCAAACATATTACACTAAGAAATTCAGACCTTTTCCTGAAAGCAGTATAGGACCAGGGAAGTAATTTAAACACTACACTAACATGATCAGATTTGTATTTTAGTAAAATTAATCTGTAAATAGAATAAAGAATAGAAGGAAGACAAAACAGAACCAATAAATTTTGATAAATTACAAAACTAGCAGAAAGATCAAAGCCAAGAGAGACTAGAAGTATTGAAAGGACATAGAAATTCATGAGATAATAGAGATTAAGGAAAGAGGACCCTGGAATAACTCCCAGATTTTTATCTAGGATAATTATGGGCATAGTAGAGTAATAATAGGAGTATAGGAAAACAGATTTTGTGGGGGTTGTCAAAACTATAATATGTTTGAGTTTTGTGTGAGACATTTACATTAATCTAGAAAGTTTATTTGAATAGGTATTGGTAAGGAAGGCTTACACTCTGTAAAGATCAAATGACTGAAAAAGAGAATTCTCAAGGAACATGTGTAGAATATGAAGAACATGTATATTCTGAATGAAGCCAGCATTTAGAAGTTAAAGAAAAGTCCTGCATTTCTGCCTCCCAAGCCAATAGTCAATTAAGAGGGAGGAAGAGAGCTAGTACAGGGTGCTGTCATGGTACCAGAAGTAAGAGGGTTTTCATTGAAGGACTCTAAAGTGCTCGATATATATTGTAAAAATTTGTTGATATCTCTTGGATGTCAGTGTGTTATTTCAAATGGCTTATATTGATTCTTTCAGACTTGACTGTTAAACCCAAATAAGTGTGTGTGTGTGTGTGTGTGTGTGTGTGTGTGTTACAGAGCTCTGCTTTATAGTTTTGTAGTAAAGTCTTAGTATCAATGTCCCCCCAAAAATATTGTCAATAGCAAATACAGCCTGGGTAAGTTGAAAAGCTACCAAATATTAACTTTATTTTTTAGTTGGAAGATTATCACTGACTGTAGCATAATTTAATTTGAATGCTATTAGCTAAATAAATATGAAGTAATCCAAGAACAAAGGATGAATTTAATTTGAATGACAAGTAAAAGGGTGGACATAGCAGTAGGTAATCATAGACCAGGTAGTGCGGGATTAGCCGGTAAAAGTTGATTGGAGCACATGAATCTCATGAATAAGTTATATGACAAAATATTTCAAATAGGATATTGATATATTTAGTCATAGCATTGATATTTGTAAAGGTTTTTATCTTTGTTTATTCATGAACCTTTTAAATAAATTTCATCATCTGTTTCTTCCCAGTGTCAGTCTAATAAAAGAAACATTAATTGAAGCTTTGCAATCCAAATAAATTCCACAAATAATACATAATAATAAAGTAAATAAAGTTGGTATTTAATATATAGTCAAAAGCTAAGAGTCCCAGGATTCCTCCATTAAACAGTAAGTAAAATGAGGAATTAGCTCTCAAAAACAAAATACCAATATCCAGGTAAAGGAAAACTAAATAGAATTTAAAGTTGTTGAATGTCCTGACAGGATTAAGTTTAACCACACATAACAGAAGCTATAGAAATGGTAAGTTAAACAAGATAGAAATTTATTTTTGTCTCAGAGTAGTTTCTCTCTTAAAGAAATCCAAGGATAGGTCATCTGGAGCTGATAGTGGCTCTAAGATGTTAGCAAGGACCCAGCCAAGTTCTGTCCCATCCTTAATGTGGCCTTCCATATCAAGGTTAGCTTCTGGCCCTCATGCTAAAATGCCATCTGATAACTCTAGACTGTCAGTAGAAGGAGAAAGGAGATGAAAGTCTTTGCTGTAGTCCTCTCCCTTTAAGTGGGACACTAACATTCTGCTTAGAGTTTTGTTAGCCCAGCTTGGTCACAGTTCTGCACCAAACTGCAAGAGAAACAGGGAAATGTAGTCCTTTAGCTGGGCACAGTGCTGCCCTGTCTTCTTTGTGTCTACAGTTCTTGGAAGATGGGGATGGCAGTTTTTACTAAGAGGAAGGGGGATATGCTTGTTGAAGCAAGGAATTTGCAGTCTCTGTCCCAACATATGTTGTGTATACTGGTGAAAGTCTTGACTAGCATCTTGTCCATATTGGCCTTTTTCTGTTGCCCTTTAGCAGGACCAGTTATGGACAGATTCTTCATTTGGAAACCAGGACCCCTGAAACTGAGCAGAATTTGATGAGGAATATGTTTGATCATTTACTTGCAAAAAAAAAAAGCTTTCAGAGAAATCTGACTTCAAAAACAGTTGGGCACAATTTATTACTCTTGATTTCTCAACAGTAAGAAAGAGGAGGAAGTCAGTTAGGCGTCAAGACACTTCATCCTTCTGTTCCTTTTCAGTCTTGTCTGCCATAAGGGCGGTTGTGGTTAAATGGTTTACTATTAGCAGTTGAAGAAAGTAATGCTAAATTTATATGGTTAAAGACTTTGGCCAGAAATGGGCGAATTTCTTCTTTATATTGCATCCTTACCTCAGAGAACTTTAAATTTTTGAAGTAGGGCTAAATAATACTTCTCTGTCTTCCATAGAAGGACAGTGATGTTGATAGCCTGAAAGAAAATCTCAACTCCAGTACTGGATACTGTACACACTGACTGTGTGATATTGACCCTCAGCTGTAAAACAGTAGTATGTGCCTCATGGCGATTAGATTACATATGGAAATGGACAGGAACACCTTAGCCTCCTATCTGACAGCAGAGGTAATTCAGCGTTGGTCCTAGTCCTCTTACAGTAATTTTCAAACATAGGAGACTTTTCCCAAATGAAGTCATGCTAGGGCCTTGGCTTACTACTCCTGAGATAGTCTTGGCTAGAGCTCGGAACTGTTAAGTATAATTGTTTCCTGTACTCACGTGAAGAATTCTGGTATTATAGAGCTCAGTGACTTTCATGTCAATGGAGAATTCAGGGAACAGTTTTCTGAGTCGATAGATTTTTTGCAGGGTGGGTATAATAAGGAAGAAGTGAGATGAAGACTTTTTTGGTTGGTCATTCATTCATTCTTTCATTCATTCATAGTATTGGTGATTGAACTCAGGGCCTTTGCACTGATAGACATCCCCAGCCCATTTTATTTTATTTTTAGGCAGAATCTCACTAAGTTGCCCAAGATGGGCTCAAACTTGGGTTTGTCTTTCCTCAGCCTCCCAGAGTGGTGGGATTACAGGTGTGTACCACCATGCCTGGCTGAGGACTGTATTTATTTATTTTGGTTTTCTGAGACACAGTCTTCTTGAATTCATTCACTCTGTATCTCAGGCTGGCCTTGAACTCACAGCAATCCTCTTGCCTCAGTTTTCTAAGTGCTGGGATGAGAGGTGTGCTGTTGTACAGCCCAGTAGGACTGTTCTTTTTTTTTTTTTCAAGGGTTATTTTTTAAAGGGAAAGAACTTAAGATAGAAAAGGGCCTTAGAGATGCTGGCTAGGAAAATTTAATTGTAGAAAATAGGAGGAAATGGGAAAATATATACTTTAACAGTTGAAAGGAAATCTGAATTTTATTTTCAACCCTAGAAGATTTCCATTTGGAACTTTTTGCTGTAGATTTTAAAAAATAGCTTTGTATATTCATATTAAAGTAAGACCATCTATGGTGTTACTGCATAGCTCAATTGTAATGATTCTTTTGTATCTATCTGGTTTTGGCCCTGTATTTGACTTACATTGTCACTGAATGTCTTGCAATCTGATGTGTTCTGTACATGGGAAACACTGACACTGATTAATATGCAGAAGCCAAAACCATGGAATGGATCTGATTTTGTGGTCAGATATAGTGCACCGTTTTGAATAACATTTAAAAATGTTTTAGTCCATGCACAGACAAAACATAAATTAGCAAACCCTTTGCTGGAATACCAGAACCTGTTTGCCTCTTGATAGTGTTGGTTTGTAGGTAATCCTATAAAGATTAGGATTAAGCTTGGTGGTGGTAAAACCCCAGGTATGGTATGTAGTTAATACAGTTGACACATGCATTGCTGTTTTTAACACTTATTAGAGGAGATTTATCTATGATCTACCTAAAAAGTGCTTTGTGGACTTACACTTTGTTAATGGGTAGTGATTTCTCATACTGCGTGACAAAGCCCGTGAAAGGCACCCTTGTATCTTCTTGCAGGACAGAGGTCAGGTCCAATCTACTCCTTCAGGATGATGACCTTTTTTTTGAGAAGACTCCAACCAGGCATATTTCCTTACCAACCTTGTCCCAAGAAGAGCCTCCACCGAAGGCTGCAGCACTGGCAAACGAGGAAGCACTGCAGAAGATCTGTGCACTTGAAAATGAACTTGCTGCTCTCAGAGCTCAGATTGCTAAAATTGTGACCCTGCAAGAGCAACAAAATCTCACTGCAGGTCTGTAAGTCCTATATTTGTTTTAATTAGAAACTGAAAATTAGAGAATGCCACTTAATTCATGATTTATTAGTAAGTAATAGCTCTTGTGATTTGAAATTCCAATGTCATCCTCTTCCTTGTCTAGTGCAAAATTTGGTCAAAATTAGGTGGGTTTTGTGTTTTGAATAATCCTGATGCTATCAGAGAGGAAATCTCTTTGGAAAATATTAAAATTATGCCATCGAATTGCTACCGTTGTGAATGTTTTCCTTCTGAGAAACTTAGCTGTCCGTAATAGTAACATCACTTTGGTTAGATATGAGGTCATTCCATGGGTTTCATGCCTGAGATCATGGGAAGACTTGGCCTACATTCAATTAGTTTACTACCTGCGTGTCCTGAAGTAAGCATTTGACCTTCATTTCACTTTTCTGCTCTAAAATGGGTATAATACCATCTGTGTTATTGAGTTGCTGTGTGAGTATGTGGATAAAATATATAAAATGTCCTTCATACCTGGAAGCTACTTCATGGTTGTGCCTTGTCTTCTTGTAGAGAGTAAAAACTAAATTTAGGTCTTCTGACACTTGGTCTGATACTGTTACTTTAATTAGGGTGGTATCGTTTCTTCTTTGGGGAAGAAACCATAGCCTTGAAATCCTAGCCAGCTGACCTGTTGGCAGATAGTAGTTGTTTTTCCTGTTGTTCCCAAGTCCTGGCTAGACTCAGTCTTAATTAGCTCTGTCAGAAGGATGAGGTTGATTAATTACCCTGTCTCTGAGTCAGTCTGCTTATACCATCTTGAAGGCATTCTGGGCACTGGGTGCTAGAGGGGTAAGGGTTGTTCCTTCCGTAAACTGGATGAATCTTAAAATATGAGTCTTGTTTTTTCTTCTCATTAAATTGCTGTTTTCCTTCACTTCATCTCTGTCTTCTGGCAGAGTAGGAAAAGTATTATAAATAGATATTTCGGAGTTTATGTTTAGGTGATCTTTTTGTAGTTTGAGTCTTTTGAGTAAAACTATTGCACTGTGCTATTTCCTTTCTGCCTTTATCAGTACTGTTCACCTAATAAATAACTCTCCAACTTCCAGTCACACAGGCAGATGAGTTTTAGGTCCTTTTTCAGTAATATTTGAACTCTTAATTACTTCTTGTTTTGAAAATTAACTATCACACTCTTTTTTTTCCTTCCAAAAGTTTAATAGTAAATCTAAAGCTCTTCTATACATATTCTAGTGTATGCAAGCTTTTAATGCTTAAAAAGCCTTAAATGAACATATACTTTAAATGAACCACAGATTAAGTAGTTTTTTCTGATAGTTATAATAGTACTAAATTGTCTAACTATGAATTGAATATAGAGATGTTTATATAACTGCTTTATATTTCTGCTAAAAGTGATCACGTACTGTGTCATAATCAGACTGGAGCATTTGAAATCACAAAAACACTCCTGTTAAATTAAATGGGACTTTTCTATCTGGAGAGTTTTGATAGCATGATACAATAACTCAGATTTAGGCATTCTCAAAAAGTAACTGAAAACTGCTTTTCTTCTTACATAACTGAGATTCTTTTTAGGAATTTGTTTTTAAGACTATGAAAGTCTTCAACATTGTTTGCTTTTAAAAATTGTAATGTTCTTGCTTATTAACAGTGGACTGTTTATTTTTCCTTATTTCTTCTGTAGGTGACTTAGATTCTACCACATCTGCTACTACAGCACCACCTCCCCCACCTCCACCTCCACCACCACCGCCCCTTCCAGTGGGGCTCCACCAAAGTGTATCTGCTATTGATATGATTAAAGAACGTAGAAAGCAAAAAGCCAACTCTGGAAAAACTTTGGCTAAGAACAACCCAGAGAAACCTGACATGCCAAATATGCTAGAGATCCTTAAAGATATGAACAGTGTAAAGCTTCGGTCAGTCAAGAGGTTAGCGTGTATTAATCTTTTTTCTTGCTTCCCCATTTGTTTATATCTTATAAAACCAAACTACGAGGCTCTTTGATAAATGTTTTGTCTTTTCAGTACTGGGGATTAAACTCAGGACCTTGTGCTTGTGAGGCAGGTGTGGCACCACTGAGCTAAATCCTCGGCCCTTGATAAATGTTTTAGAACATGACTGCTATGACTAATTTTTAATTGAACCCAAGACCTTATGCATACTAGGCGAGCATTGTACCACTGAGCTACATCCCTATCCTAGCAGTTAAAAAAAAAAAAAAAAGATTGGCCCTGCAATATTGGCCTTGTTTCTACTGTGCCCAGAAGCTAAGATAGTAGTAAAGACAGGAACAAAACAAACAATCCAGGCAATTTTTTATTTTTCCCATTTAAGTCATGTAAAATCTATATTATGACTTCTCAGTAGTTCATTCATTAAAGGTGTTTTATGTACCCAAGTTTGGGTAGTCACTGGACACACATGGAAGATGGAATCCTAATGGCCCTGAAGGAGAGCACAGACAATGTCCTGTGGGTGTAGGCTAAGTGGCCTTTTTATCAGACTCATGTGCTCTTTTGTTGAGGCTTACATCTAGGTTTCTGTCTCACTACTAGCACTGTTTGTCATTGTTGTTATTGACTATGATGCTAGAGATGCTCTGTCCACCAGGTAAAGAGAATACTTCTCTGAGGGATGGTTACCCATCCTCTTGTCTTTTGTTCACGTTTCTAAGGTCAGAGCAAGACATAAAGCCCAAGCCAGTGGATACTACTGACCCTGCTGCTCTCATAGCTGAGGCTCTGAAAAAGAAGTTTGCTTATCGGTATCGAAGCAGTAGCCACAGTGAAGTTGAAAAAGGAGTTCCAAAGTCTGAATCAGAGACCACCTCAGAGACAGCTTTGGTGCGTATTAGCTGAAATTCTTTCCTGTTATGTAGCAGTGCACCCAATGGATGAGCCCCTACATTTTCAAGTTATTCAGCTATATCCTCTGCAAGATTCAGTGGGATGTGATGCATGATTTAGTCCCTACCTACAAGTAGATTGCAGTTATCTAGGAAAAGGATGACATTTTTGCTTAGCATTTGTATCTTTATTTTTATCACTATAAAAGTAATAATAGCTGATCGAGAATTTAAACTAAAGGACCTAAAGTAGAATGTTTTAACTTTGGATCTCACTCTTAGCAATCTCCACTGAGAAGTTTTCTATTCAGGGTTATATTTGATTTAAGCATAATGAATTGAAAATCGGGATAATAGGGTTGTTATCTTAGAACAGTGTATATATGATGATATGGAAACTCAAAACAAGATCATTTTATTTGGGCTGGGTGTGGTGGTGCACACCTGTAATCCTTGAGAGGCTGATATATGAGATTTGCTGTGAATTACAGGCAGCCTGAACTACATAACAAGACCCTGTTTCAAAGAACCAAAAAAAAAAGTCATTTTCTTTGGGCGCCCTGTAAGTGCCTTCTGAAGAGGATGAGAGCTGAGCTGAGATATGGGCGTTAAAGATGTGCATTAAATCATGGGTGGAGATTGAACACATTGCATAGGGGCTCTGAGATGGTAATTTTTACACTCCCTTTATGTTAACTTTCACAGGGATCTATTACAGTTATCTGTTTCAGAGAGGTAGACATTAAATTGTGGTGCCCTTGGAACACTGAAGAATTGCAAGGGAAACTTTGTACTTCTTCCTTTACTAAGAAAATTAGACTGAAATAGGTTGTTGCTGAGATGATTATTATTTTCTTTTCTAGGAATAAATTTGTTTACCTCATTTCCTTTCATTCTTTTGATAGGTCTTGTGTTTATAATAACCTGTCTGTTCAAAAAAGATTTTAATATTACTGAGGGCTTGTTTTTTTTTTTTTTTTTTTAATGCAGAACATATCTAACTCTGTGATGTTTTTTGGAGTGTGGTGTATCATTACTGTTATAAGAACCAGTATCTATCTTTATACCTTTATTTGTTTCTTTTCCAGTTTGGGCCACATATGTTGAAATCTACAGGAAAAATGAAGGCTCTAATTGAAAATGTTTCAAACTCCTAATAGACAGTGAACTGAGAAAGGCTATCCTGGTTCAGCTATTGTTTTGTGAGGGCTGAGTTTGGCTAGTAAAAATCAACACTATGTAGTAAATACCTTTAATATTCATTGGTTTCCTTTTTAACCTAATTAGAAGATTAAGCAGTACTGAAAGCACTATAAGTTTGGTTCTGATAATGTTTTTGATGTGTTTAGATTTCCAGTCTTGAAAGCAATTGTAAGACTTCAGAACACAGAAAAGACCCTTTTATTGTTACACATTTTTAATTCTTAACACTAATTTATCTGTCAAATGTTTTATATGCATATATCTGGATATAAAACAGTTCATGTAAAAATTAATGATGGCAGATGAGGGTACTATTATCTTCATTTATTTTCAAGAATCACTTACTGTTCAGTGATGGAACAGCTGGTATACCCTAAGTTGTTGAAGTGAAATATTTGAGATTGGAATCTTCTTGCCTTGAATAGAACTTAACATATTGGATTTCCTCCCATGTTTTGGAGATGGGTTTGCATAGGAACTGGATGATGTTCACTGCTGAGATTCTATAGTGCTTTCCGTTAGAACCAAGTTAAGGACAAAGAAGGCTGGCTTGCACATTGTTGCCATCCAGTGCTGAGGAAGCAAGTGTAGTTTCCAAGTAGTGACAAATCAAAGTATTGAATTAAATTAGTTTTTAGGTAAAAAACTTCTTTCAGTTTAATAAATAGTATCATAAAGATGACTTATTGCTGAGTTAATGCTATTTCTGGAAATGTCAGCATAATGGAATTAAAATTTTTTAAATATTGGTCAAAATATTAGTGTTATTTATCAAACAGGCAAATGACTTTCCTATAATATTATTATTGGTCACAGTGCTGTTCCAAGAATGATATTATGCACAAACTTTAGGTGCTATTATAAAGCAGAATCTGGGTGTGGTGGCACATACCTATAATCCCAGCACTTGGCAAGCTGAGGCAGGAGAGCTGCCATAAGTTCAAGATCATCTTGGGCTATAAAGTAAGTTCAAACCCAGGCCAGCTTGAATGACGACGTAACAACACCCCGTCTCAAAGAAAAAAAAAATGAAAAGTTAAAAAAAGCAGAGAACTGGAGCCTGAGCAGTTTAGTGAGAGCTTATCTCAAAATGAGAACTGCCTTTTGCCTAGGGCTTATAAGGAGTTACTATAAGTGACCATTTTATACATTCTCATGACTTCCTCTTTCTGACAAACTCAGCAATAGTTAATGTCAGAATTTCCTACCATAAGTAAATATTTGGATTTGTTATTTAAATCTATGGAAAACTTGTACTTACTGGGAGGATTAAGAGATGGGAAGAGTAGATTGACATTTTAAGTTATTGAAATGTTTTTTAAATAGTAACAAAAATTTTTGAGGTAATTTACATGGTTTGGTTATTTAGCCTAAATTTGAACTGTGGAATATTGGTGTATATTGTTTCTAATTATTTTTTTAATGGTTTAAAAATTCTGCCTTTAAGAAATTAAAAAAATTTGCCTGACATATATTTTGACCTCTTAAGAAATTTATATTTCTATTGGTATTAAATTCTGGCTATGTTCCAATATAATGAAGTAACTTTTAAAATAAAGCAAACTGTTTTATTCTCCATGGACAACACCGCCTATGTATTTTTTTTAAAAAATAGAAAATACTTTTATAATGCATATGTTGATTCTTTCAAGTGGAAATGGATTCCTTAAAATGAGTTCTATCACTTCTCATTCACTCTCTCTTAAGTAGATCTCAGCATAAACATAGGAGGCATCTGAGTTTCCAGAATTCTGAAACCCAGAACCCATTTTGGGATTGGTTTTATCTGCTTTATCATTTCTCATGTCCACCTGGTTCATTTTTTTTAAATAGATTTTATTTTATCCCATTTCCCCCAAGCCCCTCCTCCACTCTCTATGCACAAAAGCTTTGTTTCCATTTTTTCCTTCTATTTCACTTTCTTCCTTGTCCCTTCCTTCCCCCTCCCTCTCCTCCCTTGTTCCCCTTTGCATTTAAACACTTTCTTTTCATTCCCAATGTCCACTACACATCTCAGTCCTTATTTCCATTTTTGTTTTTTCACACCAGAGAAACAATGAAGTTTTAAAGTATGTGTATCTGATTTATTTCACTTAAGAGTAGGGTCTCAAGGTCCATCTATTTAGCTATAAATGTCTGAAGCTCATCCTTTATGGCAGATATATATAATATATGTATATACATACATATATACATACACATACAAAAACTTCTTTATCCCCTCGTCTGTTGATGGACACTTGTGCTATTTCCAAGATATAGCTGTTACAAACTGCTACTATAAACATGGATATGCATGTTGCTGTGGTATTGTCTTTTAATTCTTTTGGGAAGATACCAAGAAGAGGTATGGCTGGGTCAAATGGAACCTTTAGTTTTAGTTTCTTGACCACCTCGTGCATTTTGTAGCGCTCTCACCCAACATAGTACTCTACATTTTATAGCTAAGTATGCTACATTTTGTCTACTATAACTTCTGTCTAGTGCAGTTACTCTCATTTCACAGAGACAGGGATAATATGAATCAGAGAGTACTGGATTGGAGCATTATGTGATCCTGGCCAAGTCATATCCTCTCCTTAAAAAGGTAATAATAGAGGATTAAATGAAATAATTCTGGACACATTCTATGAGCATTAAAGTGCTAATAAGTTGTTATTGTTGCATTTTATATAAAGTAAATTTTCAGTAGAATCTTCTCGTAAGACACGTTTCTAGCACCTGTAAAGGTGTCACCTTATGCTTTCACTTTCACTAGACTGATGTTGACAGGCAAGACTTAGCATCTTTAATTCCGGTTGTCTCAATGACTTGGCCCTTCTGCATAACACGTATTTTCTTACTATGTTAAGAATTCTTCTGAGTCTGTGTCTTGGTGGTACAAAGGAAGATAAACGGTAATAACTACCAGAAATACTCTTTGGAAAAGCTATTGTTCTGGTAATGTCTCCAAGAATAGAAGTTCTGTGTGTGTGTATGTGATACACTGACAGAAGTTTAAATTTTTAGCTTACAAATTCAGCTCTGGAATTGCTGGGCGGAATGACACTGGGTCTCATGATAGGCTGTTGCAGTAGTTCTCATGAGCCTTCATCCATTCCTAGGACCCATCCCTGTGTCCTCTTTCCTTTTGTAGATTGATCAAACTTCTAAGATACTTTCTTGAACTTATGCCTTAGTAAGATTCATCATAGACTTTCCTTGGAAACCCTATAAGCAGGCTAAGCTCATCAGTCTTGATGCTAGGCCTTGAGAACAGATGGGAGAATAAAAACATGACCAAATAAGAACCCAGAAATATTAATACTTTTCCTCTGAGACTGTTGACCTTGGTTCACATTATAAGGGCTTTAATGTTCCTATCGTTTTACCTTCTCAACTTTTCTCATTGGTAGATTCTCCAGAGCCCCTAAGAAGCTCGGCTGTTTTTTCATAGGGTTAAAAGTAGTAGGAAGAAAAGAACAGTAGAACATGAGAGTAATTCTCAGGAGGGTAAATTTTAAGGTAAACAGATAGTTGTCTTAGGGCATCCCTTAATTGCTTTCTTCACAGATGGAAAAGGTTGTGGAGGAAGGACAGGCTCTTCACAATAGGATTTTTATCGAACCTTTAACAAGACTGTTAATGTTGCCTAATGGTCATTGCTCCTCATTGGCCAGACATGCTTTTCTTCTTTCAGTACCAGGAATCAAACTCAGGACCTTGCAAGCACAGCACTGTTTAGATACATTCCTGTCCCCAGCCATGCTTTTTATCAAAGAGTGAAGAAAATGTACTTCTAGATACAGTGCAAAGGATGAGAGCTAGGTACAGTTGGGAAATCATTGTGAAATAAGTAACAACAGGGATACAGCAGAACATGATGCTGATCTCGGGAGTCAAGTTACCCAGATAGTCCTTGTCTTGGCCTACCCTGCTGCCAAGGGGAACACTGGTAATGAAGACTGTGCAGCACCCTTGTCCACAGCCTCAGCAAGCTGTTTCAATTAGATTTTCCAGGAATCTGAATAAGGTAACCTGAAGAGAGTGACGCATTTAGTACCAGGAGCTCAGATATGGATGTCATGAGGTACAACTGAACCCATGAATTTATAGATATTATGAGGAAATGAGAGCACTCATAGTAGCCATTGACTTCGCACTTTGTCAATACATACTTTTATTTTAAGAGGTAGGCATTTTGCAGGTTAGAAAGCCACTCAAAAATGGGATAGCTTGTTGAAAGACTCAAACCCAGGTCTGTCAAGCTTTAGAGATGATGCTTCTTAAAAACCACATTATAGTATAGTGTTTAGGCAGAAACTGCAAGGTAGAGAAGAGATGGAAGAAGGATAGGAGCCAAGAGTGGAAGAAAACAGCTGAAACTAGAAGTTCCTCACAATGTCTGGATCCCAGGTTCTACATCCTGAGGCTGACCTCAAAAGAGTGGTCTCTATTATCATGCACATAAATCTTCACCACACAGCCCTGCAGTTACCTAAAATAATCAGAACAAATCTCTGTCCCCTATAATGGAAAAACCTAACTTCTGTCTTCTGATGATTTTTAGAAATTCAAAAGCTGTTTTCTTCTAAGCATGGTGGTGCGTGCTTATGAAACCTCATCTCTCAGGAGGCTGAGGCAGGAGGATCACCAAGTTTGAGGCCAGCCCGGGCTTCATAGACCTTGTCTCAAAAAAATAAGCTGTTTGTTTTCTATACATTTTCATCTTTTTTTTTTTTTTTTTTTTTTTTTTTTTTTTTAAAATTTTTTTTTTTTTTTTTTTTTTTTTTTGTGGTGGTAGTGGAGCTATGGAACAAACCAAGGGTCTCCGGGATGCTAGGCAGTCACTTAAACCACATATACAGCCCTCCACCTAGGAAGTTAAGCATGGTTTTTAAATGTTGTATAACACCCTCCCATGTTCCTGTGTTGAAACCAAACCTCTAATAGAATGGTATTAGGAGTAGGGCCTTTGGGAGGTAGGTAGGACTGATGTTGGAGACTCCATGATGGAACTGTTTTTATAAGAAGAGCTAATCCTCTCCCACCACCCACATGAAGATACAACTTGGACTTTGCAAAATCTGTGTGCAACTTGGGAAGGTCTTCACCAGATCACAACATTCTGGCAACCCAATCAACTTTCAAGCCTCCAGAGCTGTGAAAAAGAAGTCTTTTGTTTTTAACTCATCTCTATGAGTGATTTAGTTACAGCAACCTGAGCAAACTTAAGATAATCTTCTTTATTGCCTTCAATATGTGTATAGTTTTTACAAATTTCAGCTAAGATAAAGAACATGTTAGGAACAGCCTTTTATCTTTTGTAGGACACAGCTCAGTAATGTAGAAATACTTCAAGCTTAAATTTTGAAAACTCATGCACAGCTTTAAGATAAGTGCAAGATGGAATTTCTTAACAAAGACTATTGATGAGATTAGAGGGGGGCCGAGATAGACTACGTCACTTTTTCAGGCTTAAATAACAGCCAATAAAAAAATCTAATACAAAAAAAGGATGCTTTTCTTTCCTTTGCCATCCTACCAGGCTTTAAGATAGACTTCAGGACAACTTACATAGTATAGGTATAACATTTTAGAATATAACTGATAGAAATTAATATTTTACTTTTTAAAAGAATCATACTGAGTATTTATAATCAAATTTGAAAGCTAAATGAAAAAAATTTAAAAATATAAGAATGTCTAGCAATGGCATTATTTTCATCATTAAACCATTCATTCACCTAAACAATACTACAATGTGTTACTCATTTTGTACAATATGGAAACCAGCCATATTATATAACACTTTGCAAATATGCTGTCACCCAAACACTTTTGAGCACAGATGATGGTTAGTAATCTTCAGTGTTCTTTTATTTCCAGTGCTATGCTCTGAACATACCAGGAACTCAGATATTGCTCACTACATGACTTCAGCACAAATAGACTAGCTTTAAAATAATTTCATAGTGTTAATTTGATAGCTAAAAAGGGAACACATTAACTCCACATTAATTTAACAAACATTTATTGATGGCCCTATTTACACCAGCCCTATATTGAACACAGGAACCAGGAAGACAGATGTGTCCCAATATATGTCCTTTGTCAGCTCACCCCCACGTAGTGGTCATTCCTCCTACACACCATGGGCTTAGGGTCTTCCAAATGACACAGGCTGTCTGGAGTTCATTAGCAAGGAATGACTGCTGATTAAATCTGGTCCATTTTTACCCTAAGTATTCCAAACATGGTCACTAGTACGTATATTTCCTTAAAAGCAGTATGACTTCATATTATTGGTCAATTATGTATTTTGTCATTTGGCGGAGAGTACTGGAAGGGAATTTAAACTATATACATTAAAATATGTATATATGTTTGAAGACAATGGAAAGTCCTGGTATGAAAATTTAAAATTTTAGGAAAATAGTTTAATAAAAGCCAAGAAAGCATTGAGGAAAATTAAGAGACCCTTTTCAGAATCCTGAAGGAATTACTAGCACCTCTTAACCTGTACCTCAGGTATAAGAATATTTCCCAGGTTTGCAAAGACGTAAAATGTAGTTTTTACTTTATACAAAGAGGATCATTAGAAACCACATTTACAGTGAGTACAAATATTGACAAGTTATCATTGTTGAACTAGGACTTATTAAAACTATCCAAAGATAATTTACTCCAAAAGTAGATTTCCTTGTCACTAAAATGTTGGACCAAAAGTCCAAAGGAGCCTCTATATGCTTAACAGTTTGAAATCTCTTGCTTTATCTTGAAAATTTGTGTGAACTTTGCATTCTGTTCAATAATATTTTCTTACTTTAAAAAATGTGATCCTCTAAATATTTAACTTGCAAAATTTCTAAAATGTCAATGTTCAGGGAATAAATATGTCACATTTAAGAAACGGCAATAGAAGGTGACTCCCACATTTACATAATATAACAAGTTTTCACTGGGTTCATATGTTTAGGCAGAAAGATGGAAGCAACACTGAGGTGTCCCTGAGAATGTGCAAATAGGAAACTGATTATTAAACCGTAAGACAATCAGAGGAAGAATTAAGCAATAAAACAGGCAGAATGGAGCCTAGACAAGCTCAAATGAAACACAGCTAAAAGTAATGACATATCTAATGGAGTTGCCCAACAGAGGCTAATGTGGAGAAGCAACTCCTGGCAGAGAATCCTAGCATCATCCAGGGAAGAGGATACCCGGGTCCACAGACATGATAACAGCAGACGTATCCCCAAAGGGAGATGATGCACGAGGCAACTTGCTTCCCTTGCTCAGAATCCATGCTCACCCAGTTCACAATTTGGCTTCTCAAGATTTGCCTAAAGGGAGAGAATGATTGATAATTACATTTCTCATTATAAATTAAAACATTAATACTGTCTTTTTAAAAATATCAGTTACTGTGAGGGTGGCTAATGTATGCCATGAGTTCTACTCTTCATGTACTGACAAATGGTCTGGGAGCCTATAAGACTCATCAGATCCTTAATACATCAAATTTGCTAAGGTGATATCGCTTCACATCATAAAAGTTGGTTTTCTCCAGAACACTCTGCTCTGTTATCTTCCTACCTCTATATCCATGCTGTCCTACATGGTTGCTACTAACCACATGTGCATACTGTGCACTTGACATGTGGCTAGTACAAATTGAGATGTACTGGAAGTATAAAATAGACACTAGATTTCAAAGACCTAGTACCAAAAACAAAACAAAACAAAATTTTGTTTTTTAAACTGACTACATGTTGAAATGATAAATTATTTTGGCTGTATTGCAATAAAATTATTAAATTCCAGGTTTATTTTTTATGTAGTTACTGGAAAACTGAAAATTACCTAAGTGGTTTTTATTATAGTTCCACTGGACATCTCTTTTCTGTTCAACGATGAATATGTTTGACCTTAAAGTTTTCACTATATCCCTTCTTATAAATTAGACCTGGACAGGACAAGCCACCCTAGTGGCACTGTTCTTACATTGATATCAATCCAGAATTAACTGATTATCTCATATTACCTTTAAAAAGGCCAATGATAGACATAAACACAACTACTATTCTAGTGCTTGCAAGAGGTGATGGTCTCATGCGGTTCCCAACTGTGGGAGCCAGTGGCCCTGGAGTTAGGGCTTGGCTCAAAGCTGACCCCTACTGTGCACTGCTCTGGACTATGCAAACTAGGTAACCAGGCCTCACAGTGCACTCTTGGAAGGTGCTGATAACAGCAGATAACCCCACAGGATGATGGTGCCTGCCCACAACCCTGACTGAATAAACCTCTGATGAGAGCCAAACGACTAACTGACTTACTTGTAATTTAACATTTTGATTTCCAAAGGATTGAGTTTTAAGGTAAATATCAAAGATAAAAATGTGAAAAGATAGGTTTTTATTAATCAAAAGTTAACAGCAACAGGCACATATTAAAATGAGTCTGGCAAAGCCGTTTACAAATGGCTTTACACTCGAGCTTTCTCCCAAGAAAATTGCTGTTGCAATAAACTGTAAACATAATAAACAGTCTTTTACAGTAACAAGGGAAATACAAATGAACTAAAAAGAGAGCACCGGTTTCTCTTAAAACTAGATTACAGTTGTGCTTACTACACATAAAACAATTTAAAACAAATTACAAAAGTGGAATGTTTTAAGTTTAAAATTAGTCCTTAAATTTTGTCCTAGAAAACATCTATTCACATCAAAAGGCCCATCAAAGGGTAACGTTTCATCAAAGGAGGGACAAGAAAACAATGCACTTTTTCAAATCAAAATGAGAAGTTTGGTCACTTAGCTTTGTGCATAGTTTAAGGCAACTGGAGCAATCTGTTACAGCTTACCTACCTCCCCTCCCCTGAGTGTGGCTGCTCACTGTCATATTCTAAAATAAATAAAAGCATACGTTTCCAATCTTTTCCCACATGAATAAACATGACACATGCATAGTCACACATGCACAAACGTACACAAACATCCACACATTCACACACAACATACCTCTCACTCACTGCAGCGAAAGGGACTTTAGTACCCTTGATCTGAAGGACACACTTCCCCATCCCACTTTATTTCAGATTGGCAAATACCCTGAGCTGATTATGGTGTTTCAAACATTCCACCTTTTTCTTGCATGTGCAGGTCAAGTGTACAATAGTGAAAACAACATGCAATGTCTTCACTGCAGAATCATAATACAGCTAGGACATTGGTGTTCCTCCCCTCCCACCCCAAATTAAAAACTAACACTTAAAAAAATCTGCATTGCCAAACAGCACTGGAGTGAAAACTTGGCGGTACTCTGATAAATGCTCAGTTTCCAGTGCACAAAATAAAATATAGCAAACGGGAGGCTTTGGTGGTATCCAAAGGAAGGAAAAAAAAAAAAAAAAAAAAAAAAAAAAAAAAAAAAAAAAAAAAAAAGGCAAACCAGGGGGAAGAGCTGCAGTCTATGATCTTTAAATTTTAGTGGTTCCTTCACAATCATGCTCCAAGGCAATTTAGAACCAAGATTTTCAGAGTTGATTTGTAAACATTGAGTCTTGCCAGAGGCAGCAGAGGCTGGGCACTTCACATTTCTGTTTTCTCAGAGAGAACTTAGTGGAAGATACAGACACACACTGTTGCATCAGACTGGCTGGATTCCAAGAGATTGCTGCTGAAAGATTCAGTTCAAGTTTCACAGTTTGAAGAATGGGTTTGAAGAATGAATGTTTTGAAAATCACATGGCACAACTTGAGAAACTTTTATTATTCCTTTTGGGTTCTCCTGCTGAGCTTTGCATATTCAAGGTTTCACACAAAATCCAAATGCATATTGCTGTATGTTCAGGTCTTAAAATGAAAAAGTAGGTTCAAATGATCCAACAGAGGAAATCTTGGAAATAAATAATGCTGGCATCATTCACTTGGAAACCTTGGCAGTCAAGAAAGAGTAAGTTCTCTCACCTCAAGACCCCACTTCACATTTCTAAATACTTCCAGGAGGCAGTTTGTCCCACTGGTTCAGGGGTTATGATAACCGATTTTCCTGAGGTAATTGTGAGTTCAACTGAAACGCAGCATCAGAGTCCTCACTGCTGGACTGTTCTCTCTGCTGTCCTTTCCAGCTGGCTTTATTCAGCCCCACATGTCCAAGCATTGTCTGAGATAGGCGTGTATCTGAAAACCTGGCCCATTCTGTAAATAAAGGCTCCACTAGGTAAGTCATAAAACCTTAAGAAAGCAAGAGAAAATAACTATTAATACATGCTTCGAAACTTCTTTTTAAAAAGCACTTGGTGTTAACCTTAAGTCTTATTGCAATATTATTTAAATCTTACTTTTCAAAAGATTCAATATACGTGTATATATAATTTACATTTCTTCTCTGAAGAATTTAAGTAACTCAATGGGACTTTAACTGGTAAGGTGAACTGGTAAACATCAAATCCTTTGTAATTATTTCAGCTAAAAAAACCACATTTTTCTACTTAAGTAGACATGCAGTGGTCATATCAACTCTCCAAGGATATTAGGACATAATTCAAGAAACAGTTTCCAGCATGACAACTGGAGGCAAGGACAGACTCTACCCCAGGATGTGGGATGATACCTATTGAAGTGAGCTGCTGTTATGCATGGTTTATTCCTTCAGAGACTCAAGTCTACACTTGTAGGTCATGACTATAGGCTAGTATTTTATTTAACCCAGAATTTACAGAGCCAAAAGTCTCAAGTAGAGTTAAATTAAATATAAAGGCAATTAGTTTTAAAAAGTTGAGGTTAACATCAAAATTGTACCAGGGTTCTATTTTATAAACAACTCATATAATTGATCTCACTTATTTCATAATCCAAAGAGGAAAAATCAGTCATTTCAGGATTATTTCTCTGTTTAGGTTTATACAGCACTCTTCTGCATATTTTATCTGACTTAATATTAGCATCTTACAAAGGACCTAAAGAAGCATCCTAGAAAATAGCTGATCAATCAAACCATAACGTATTTTGGGAACAAATATATTTTTCTATAATTCTGATCTGTTAGAAAAAGGGAAAATATACACTTAATATATCATTGCTTGCTTAACAGTTCTAAAGTCTTTACATTCAAGACTTTTCTTATAACAAAAGATCATGGGGAGACAGACAACATAGTTTCCATTCAGTCAACATAAAATATAAATACCACTGTTTTGTTTTGTTTTTTTCCAGTACCAGGAATCGAATTTAGGACCTTAAGCTTCAGGCAGGTGTGGTGCCACTGAGCTATATATCCTGCCCCCCACTCCGCTGCCTTTTTTTTTTTGAGACAGGGTCTCACTATGTAGTTCAGGCTGGCCTCAAACTCACTATGTAGTCTGGGCTGGCAGCCCTTCTGCCTCAGCCTCCCAAGTGCTGACATAGGCACGTACCACCACACCCACTGGATTTAAAGCAATTAGTTCACATTCTTTCTAGATTGGAAAGTCATAGTCTGATGATTGAATTTTAAAAAATGTGTATAATTATAGCATCTGAATATCTGATACCTGCCATCAGTAATTAGGATAAATGCCATAAGTGTTGCTTTCTTTGATTGATTCATTCCTTTCACACACATTAGCGGAGGACCAATAAGCCAGGCACTGTTCTAAGGGGGCTGGAAATACAGCAGCGGAAAAAAAAAAAAAAAATCTCTGCCCTCAAGGAGCTCATGTTCAGTGAAAAGAAAGAGATAAGCAATACAGAGGAATGTCATTATTGCAGTCAAAGAACAGCAGCTTGTGGCAGTCTTCTTTACACTGCTATATTCTGTTGAGCCAGTACCCAAGTCCTGTCTTTTCAATGTGCCACAGTTAAAAGTCATCAATAGCTGGTGTTCTGCACCCAAACACAGAACCTTATTATCATATAGGTTTTACATAATTCCTCTTACTTGATTGTTATCATTGACCCACCTGATTGAGATTTTGGGGGATTGCCTCTTATATCCAACTAATTAGTAGCTATCACTTTTGGCTCTTCGTTAACCTATGATTTCAGTTAGTAGTTAAGAGCCTGGGATTGGATGCTAGAAAGACCTGTCTCAAGCCAACCCTAACACTTGTTAACTGAATCTATGTGAAACTGAAAAAGGGGTACTTGGAATTACACTTGCCTCTTATGGTGGGTGCAGAGTCAGTAGATGACAAGTGCCATCATCATTTAGCTTATTCCTGTCCCTCTGACAACACTCTCTAGAAATGCCCAACACTGACAGGACCATATTTTGAGAAGAACGGTTTAATAAAGGGTCTAGCTTTTCCTCTTATGCAAACTACATTAAAAAAACTCACTTGCAAACTATCTTATTAAACTAGGGAGTAATCTACTCAGGCAAAAAGACATTTATGTAGGGCCAGGGGTTTAGCTCAGTGGTACTGCACCTGCCTTGTAAACTCAACATCCTGAATTCGATCCCAGTACCAAAAAAGAGACATTTATGTAAAGAAGCTAGAGGGCTAGCAGTGAGGCTATCAATTCACTTATCTTCAGTTCAATTTCCTTTCACCCATATTTGTTTGCATTTAAGTCATCCCACGTAAGAATCAAGCCAGAGTAGATCTGTTAACTTTCTTATTATTTCCCCAAAAGAAAAACGTTCCTCTGGTAATCACTGCATCCTGGACTAGTCTGGCTCTCCTGAAGGCTCAGCATCCCTGCATGCTCCTATGTCTGTACCACTCTCTTCTGTATCTCTCTACCTAACCCTTTGCAGTCAGGTGAGTCACTACCCACTGTCCTCCCCATAAGAATCTTTTGGAATCAGAATGTAAGAATTACATTTCTGAATTTTAAACTCAAATCATGGTCTCCTTTCAGAGTATTATGACACAGGATTGTGCCATCTTCTGATTTTCTAAAAACTATCTTTCTGAAGTTTGTGTACACATTTCATTAAGCTCATCCCAATACTCAAAGGTTCCCTCAACACCAGGCACCAAAACTACACTCTTCTCTTGAGCTATTTCCTGTTACTATTCCCTGCTTTACAATTATGTCCTGATACATTCAATCATAATTAATCCTTCTTACATTCTTCTTTTTTTTCCAGTACCAGGGATCAAACTCAGGACTTTGTGCTTGCCAGCCAGGCACTGTGCCGCTAAGCTAAATCCCCAGCCCCTTTCTTACATTCTTCTACAAGCTGCAATCCTGCCATCACAGAACGTTTCACTGCTTTCTATCACAGTTATTAGTTGATTCAACAAACAGTTCTCAAGTGCTGCTTCCAGGTGCATGCAGGGTTCTAGATATCCGACCAAATGTGAGACAAGGCTATGAGTGCCATCTGAACACTTCAGAAGTCTGGAAGAGGCAGACTTAACCCCCTAGGGAGAGGAGGCTGCTTTAGGAAGGAGGTGACAAAAGGTGAGACAGAGGGGAAGGACTAGCAGGGCATGGAGATCGAAAGAGTCATAACAAGGGAAAACAACGTTAAATTTTCTTAAATGATTTTAAAAACTAGCAATGAGCATAATTTTAGTACTGCATACTTTAAATATATTTCTCTTCTTGGTAAAATGAGTAACCAACTATATCTAAATATATATAGTTACCAATCTGGATGTTGGCGATGGATTCAGTTTGACGATCACAAAGTGGACTCACACTCAAATGATACTTTTTTTCTATATCACCTATGAATAAAAAAAGAGAATAAGTAAATGGAACATATCTATTGGTTAAATATATAACTAATACGTTCAGCATACCTGTAAATTCCTTAGAAGAACAAATTTAATTTTCATGAAAGGAAGGTTTTTCAATTAGTTATTTTTTAAACTTTAAGGTTGCCAAATTGATATCCTTATTTAATAGAGGAAATGAAAACTCTTATTAGGTGTTAGTCCCCTTTCAGACTAATTTTGTCAGTATTTTAGTTTAAAATTTACATTTCTTTTTTAAAGGGAAGGTGGCATGAAATGATCGTAGCTCTGAAATACAAAATGGTGTTCACATGGACATTCCCTCCACACATGACAAGGGATCGGGCAGATTCAGAGAAATCCTTCTGTACAGCACAATTTCTAGCCTATTCTACGCATGTTAACAAATAAAAATACATATATCTGATCATTCCAAAAGGGGACTGTTATCTTTCAAAACAGATGCTCCAATCGTACTTTACTGGCTATATGAACATCTACTGTGAATTGCTGCTAAAAATATCAAATACTCCAAGACTCTTATAAATGGCTGAGTTCTTATTTTATTCATATGATGCAAAAAGATGAACTGAATATTATCACTCGATACTGTAACTTGCCTTGGTGGAAGAATTCCTCTGTTACTTTTTCACTCCACTGCTTACTTAATTCCCAGGTCCGACATGGGTTACAAATATCAGCACATTTCAAAGCCATCTAGCAAACAAAATACGCTTAAGATTTTTTTAAGAAAAAGAAATTAGTATTTCAATTGCACTATGTTTTAACATACTCTAGTAAAGGGGAAAAGAACACTTTAAAAGGAGAACAGCTGGAGTATAGCTCAGTGGTAAAATACAGCACATTCTTAGCATGCTTGAGATCCTTGGTTTACTTCCCCCAAAACAAAGATAAAGAAAATACTGCAACAGAAAATTCATTGTCTTTCACACTAATCTTATGATGGCTATTGGACTGGCCCATTATTTTTGCAGCAATGCTGATGAAGATGTTGCAAGGCTGCTAGCTTGTTATTATCCATGCTTAGAAATCCCAAAAAGCTAGACATAATGACTGGATTATCCATAACTATAAATGAATAAGGTAGAAAGAAATAATCTAGTTCCTTACCCATTTTTGAGATGTGAGAATTTATTAAAATAAAACAGTGCTTGGTATTCTAATGTTCCAAGAAAAAAATTTTTTTTCATCAGAAATCTTTTTTTTTTTTTTTTGGTACTGGGGATTGCAAGGCAGGCCACCAAACCGCTGAGCTAAATCCCCGGCCCTTCATCAGAAATATTAAGCATGAAAAATACCAAAGCAACAGCAGTGCTTTCCTAGATAGTAAGTTTGCCAATGATCTTCAGAAAAGTATGAAAACTAATTGAAGGAAACTCTTTAGCTTTCCTTCTAGATTCAAGCACTCTAAAAACCGTGCTTTAAAATTTCATTTTTTTCTAACAGACTCATGAAAACCATAGAAATAGAATCTTTCCAAGTTCCATTTTACCTGTAAAACCAAATGCCTATGTCTCGAATCTTCTAGGCATAAGTCACCTCTATCCAAATGGGACCTAAACAAAGACAGGTACTCATTCTGGCGACTGATGTCTGTGGCTAGTATCAAAGCACCTATCTGAGTCTCCATTTGTTGCCTGGAATTAGAGATACAAAAAGAGGAAACATGATTTTGTTTTCTATTTTTTCCATTAAGTTTGTTGGTACATTTTAGTTATACAATAGTTACATTCATCATTAGGATCTTAAACCTCTTTACATGATGTACCTTGGTTCTTACTTTTTACCCATTCCCCTGCTCTCCCTTCACCCCCTCCACCTGTCCCTATTTACAAAGACTGTTTCCATGTTTTTCCTTTTATTTTTTCTTTTCCCTTCTTTCCCCTATCCCTCCACTTCCCCAACTCCTTTAGACATTTTATTTCACAATATCAATTATACATTTCGATCATTATTTACACTTTTAGTCTTTCACACTAGAGAAACTATTTGTTATTTACATGTGTGTCTTATTAATTTCACTTAAGACTATGGCCTTACTGTGCATCCATTTTCTTATAAATGACTCTAGTTTCTCATTTTTTATGGGTAAGTAGTACACCATTTTACAATAAAAAACACATCTTCTTTATCCAGTCTCCAGTTGATGGGCATTTGGGTTGTTTCCAAGTTTTAGCTCATACAAACCGTGCTTCTATATACATGGGTGACCATATACCACTGTGGTATGATACTTTCAATTTTTTTGGGGGGGGTTATTTTTCATTGAATTTATTGGTACTTTTTCAGTATACAGTACAGTTACATTTATCATTGGGATCTTGTACCTTTACATGACAGGTCTTGGTTCTCATTTCTTCCCCATACCCTGCCCTCCCTTCACTCCTTCCCCACTCCCCCACTTACAAAGACTTTGTTTCCATTTTTTCGTCTTCTCATATTTTTTCCCTTCCCTCACTCTTCCCACTTCCCCTACACCTTTAGCCCCTTTCTTCCTTTTTCACATTGTCAGCCATACAATCTGGATCTTATTCACACTTTTAGTTTTTCACCCCAGAGAAACTATTCAGTATTTACACGTGTATCTTAATTAATTTCACTTAAGAGAATGGCCTCAATATGCACAATTTTCATATGAATGACTCTAGTTCTCACTCTTTATGGCTGAGCAGTGCTCCATTTTATAGAAAAACCACATCTTCTTTATTCAGTCTCCAACTAATGGGCAATTGAGCATTTTCACTGTTTTAGCTATTATAAACAGTGCCACTATAAACATAGGTGTGCATATATCACTGTGGTATGATTCTTTTAATTCTTTTGGAAAGAAACCCAGGAGAAGGACTGCTGGGTCAAATGGAACCACTAATCCTAGTTGTTTGAGTTATCGCCACAGTGATTTCCACAGTGGTTCCACCAGTCTGCACTCCCACCAGCAACGCAGAGGGGTTCCTTTCTCCCCACAATCCCACCAACATTTGATTTCTTGATAGCAGGCATTCTTTCTGGGGTGAGGTGGAATCTCAGTGTTGTTTTCATCTGCATCTCTCAAATAACCAGTGATGTTGAACATTTTTCTTATATTTATTTGCTGTTTTTCCTTGTTTGTCCGAGAAATGTCTGTTCATTTCAGATACCCATTTTTGAATCTATATTTGGGGGGCCTGATTTTTTTTCAGTTCTTTATATATTCTAGATAAGAGTCCTTTGTCTGAGGAGCAGCTGGTAATAACTCTTTCCCACATTGTAGGTTGTCTTTTAGCTCTGTTGGTGGTTTCTTTTGCAGTGCAGAAGCTTTGTAATAAGATGAGTTCCCAGTTGTTGATTCTTTATGCTAGTTCCCGTGCTACTAAGGATTTGTTCATAAAGTCTTTTTCTATGCCAATGTCTTGGAGAGTTCTGCCTAACTTATCTTCCAGCAAGTTCAGTGTTCCTGTTTTAATATTTAGATCTTTAATCCACTTGGATTTTAGTTTAGCACATGGTGAAAGATAAGGATCTAATTTTAATCTTTGGTAGGTTGAAATCTACTGTTTGCAACAATTTATTAAAGAGGCTATCTTTTGTCCACTGAGAGTTGTCTCCTTTGTCAAAGATGAGGTAGCTGAGTACATGTGGAGTAGTTCCTGTATCTTCCAATCTATTCTACTGATCCTCAGGTCTTTTTCTTTGCCAGTACCATGCTGTTTTTATCACAGTGGCTTCATAGTATAGTTTCCAGTTAGGGATCATGATACCCCCCTGCCACGTCTCTGTTGCCGAGAATTGCTTTTGCTATTCTAGGTCTCTTCTGGTTCCAAAGGAATTTTTGGATTATTTTCTCTAGTTCTGTGAATTATACTGTTGGGATTTCAATCAGGATTGCAATGAATCTGTATAGAAGTTTTGGTAGTATGGCCATTTTCAATATGTTGATTCTTCCTACCCAAGAACAGGGGATATCTTTCCATTTTCTTATATCCTCTTTGGTGTCTTTTTTCGGGGAGCTGTAGTTTTCAGTGTAGAGGTCTTTTGCTTCTTTCATTAGACTGATTCCTAGATACTTCATTTTTTTGGATGCTATTGTGAAAGGAATTGTTTCCCTAATTTTTCTCTGTGAGTCTGTTATTTGTGTACAAGAAGGCTATTGATTTTTGAGTGTTGACCTGGTATCCAGCTGCTTTGCTGAAAGTGTCAATTAAGTCTAGATGTCTTTTGGTAGAGTTTTTTGGGTTCTATGTAGAGTATCATATCATCAGCAAATAATGAGTTTAACCTCTTCCTTTCCTATCTTTATTATTTTAATTTCTTTCTCTTGTCTAATTTCTGTGGCTAATGTTTCCAGAACTATATTGAACAGGAGTGGTGATAATGGGCATCCTTGTCTTGTTCCTGATTCTAACATGAAGGTTTTCAGTTTTTGGCCATTTAATATGATGTTGGCTCTTGGTTTTTCATAGCCTTTATCAAGTTGAGATAAAGACCATCTATTCCAAGTCACTGCAGGGTTTTTATCACGAATGGGTGTTGAATTTTGTCAAATGCTTTTTCTGCATCCCTTGAGATATATATGGTTTTTGTCCTTGACTTTGTTAATATAATGTATTGCATTTATTGATTTACATATGTTGAACCATCCTTGCATACCTGGGATAAATACAACTTGGTCACGATGTGTGATCTTCTTTTTTTTTTTTTTTTTTTTTTCG